TGATTGTTTTGAAGTACATATCATCCTCTAGTGCTCCTAGTCGTCACATTAGCCAATTTGTCTGCATCTGTAGGTCAGGTGCAATACTGGGTGGTTTCGGAAAATTCGGTGAGGTTGCACTGAGCGTTGCAGAGGGAGAGATGGCTTTGGGGGGTTAATACGTTAGAAAAAATTAAAAATTGACATCATTGGTATATTGTAAGTGTAGGGATTCTGAGAATTCACAGCGAATGATCGGGGGAATGAAACTTACGTGGTGAGGTCAGTAACTTTGATAGACGATCTTGTGCAGAAAGATTGACCTCGGCAGGTGGGGCAGTTTGATTGCTTGGTGATATGCCTTTCTTTCGAGATATATATCGATCAATCCAAGGTCCAAGGAGATCAGGGTTCCGAATTTCATGGTCGGCTATGAGGAGAAAAGAGGAGGGAAAACCCGGGGCGTGGTTTTGAGCGGTTGTTGGAAGATAATTGGATGATTAAGAAAAATACTCAACCAGCGATCGCCGTGAGCCTTCGAATTTCTGAAATCGCATCCTTCAACGCCTGCCTGTCGAAACTTGATACTTCAATGAGTTGATCACCTCCGATACTAAACCTACAACTTAGGACTAGTCATAACACAATGTTAACTCGAGCTGGTAGTAATCTATATCCCTTGCTGGAAGGATATTGATAATACCTTTGGGGGCGTCCTGAGTGATGTCATCGGCCAACCTAGTTAAATGATCTGGTTCCTTATTCGAAGGAGTGACTTCCGAAATCGAAATATCCATCGCTGAGACGATCGGTAAGACGGCTAAAATCGCAGTTGGTTGACTGGCACAGGAGACTAATAGTAGACTAAGATTGCAGTCGAATTCAGCCTGACGCATATCATGAGCCTGGATCGGATGAGAAAAACTAGCAGGCTGACGATGCTTGTTCGAATTCTGATTCAACATTGCAGATTATCGCCAAGATTACTGAGTTGCTTCCAAGGGAGTTTGCTGGTGGAACTGCTTGATCCGTTACGACATCGACAAAGGTAACCAACTTGACATGTTCTGTGTTAAGAATCGAGTGTAAGGATCGATCTCATCGGAGATAATTTATATCGCAAGCCCAGGTCTTGAATTAGGTGGTTTGAGATTGAAACAGACCTTGAGGTGATACCTTCTCTAGAACAACTGAGCTGACAGAAAGGAACGAATAGAGTAAATATGTAGTCAGTTCCCAGGGGTTGGTTGGATATCGTAGATTTGGAAGGAAGCTCTGACTCACTAGATATCAGTCTGATTGATCTTCGTAGGTTGTACGGTTTTCAGCAACCAATCCATATTCTGTGTCGATCTTCTCGAGTGTTGTGGTTCAGTTGGATGTGTGCTGTGACTCCTCGATGACCGGGAGCTGAGACAAGCTACAATGCTGCGAGCCTGCGGGGGGCTCGGGCAAGCATGCAGCCCGGGGTACCGATCAGGGCTTTCCATGACTCCCGGTCCCAACCTGACTTGCTTGGACTTCAATTTGATGATCTTAACATATTCTGAACTGGAGAAAATTGTTGACCCTACCAGTGGCAAGGCTTTTGGTCACTCCCCTCTGGAAAAACAGAGGAGCTGGCCAAGCACTGGGTGGTCACATGAGCTGGGAAGACACTTGGGAGTCATGGGAAAACTGAGGCAGAAAAAAAAATTGAAATTGATCAAGTAAAAAACTCAAATCCATAAAATTCAACAAGAAAAAGCAAATGGAGTGAAAGCTTTTTGGAAAACACAATATGTCAGTAGAGTGGATGACTTCCTGTCAGCATTTAGAACCCTTGCAGAATTTGATTTACACCACAAAGGTCTTGATTTTTGGCAAAAAACAATTCTTCAGAAGCCTAGCAGCAAAGGCCCTCATGCAAGCTAGTTTTGGTTTTGATTAGAGTGTTAATTCAGAACTGAGAGAGGTCTAAAAAATACTCTAAATTGCAATGGGTTGTCCTCCAGTTAAAAAAGAAAGAAGTAGTCCACATACAGCAGTTCCCAGAAAGCTTACAGTTGCAAGCTCCTGGGATGCCAATCTTCTAATTAGGGGCTTGGTTCAAAACCCCAAAAATTGGAGAGTTGACTCCCAATCCCTGGAATCCCCAAAATTTGGGAGCCAAACCCCCAAAAACTTTGACTGGTTTGGGAGCCAACTCCCAAAAAAAATATTTAAAAAAAAGAAAACCCCAGATGGTTTGGGAGTTGTTCCTCCAAAACTGACCAGAGTTTGGGGGTCAATGAAGTAAAAGACCCCCACAGAAGGGGCTGTTGAGAGGTTAATTACATAGCTGAGATGTAGAAGGTTGAATAAGGAAGTACACATGTGGCAATTATGGTTGAATTGGAAATTCAGGGTCGTTAGTTTTTGGCTCGCTCATAGTCTCAGTTTTTGGATTGTTTTTTCTTGCTTTCATTTTCATTCAATCATTGAAGGTCTCAACTTTTGACACCATCAAGATCAAGATTGATAGAAGAAATTAAGGTACTCAAACATAAGTTCAAGTATAAATAAGGAAGAAAACTTATTGTTGATTTTGATTCATTACACAGACCAGAAACATTCAACTACACCAGCTCAGGAGGAGGAAGAAGACTATCAATAAAGGAGCTTATTCATTTGTTGTTTCTTTTGTCATCTTTGTTTGTTATCTATGGATCATTGTTAACTAAAGCATACTCTGGTGTTTAGTATTTGTTCTCAAGTCTTTTGTCGTTATTGAATCTCATTGCCCTGTTTAGTTTTGTTGCTTAATTATCAGTTACAAATGTTAGTATTGAGTTTTTCATCTTGATTTCATTATTGTGTTGGTTCTTATTGTTTCTCTTTGATTGTGGTCATTTCACTTATAAGTCTGTCTACTACTACTGGCTGTTTGATTTGATTTTCAATAAAGAGAACTTGTCACTTCATCACAGGGGCCGGGGCAGCAGCGGCTGAGAGTACACTTGATGGCTGGGAGTTTACCTCTTAGCCATCAAGAGTGTATCTCTCAGCCATCAAGAGTGTACCTCTCAGCCATCAAGAGTGTACCTCTCAGCCATCAAGAGTGTAACTCTCAGCTGTCAAGACTCAAGAGTCTACCTCATGGTTGTCAAGAGTCTACCTCATGGTTGTCAAGAGTCTACCTCATGGTTGTCAAGAGTCTACCTCTTGGCTGTCAAGAGTCTACCTCTTGGCCGTCAAGAGTCTACCTCTTGGCCGTCAAGAGTCTACCTCTTGGCCGTCAAGAGTCTACATCTTGGCCGTCAAGAGTCTACCTCTTGGCCGTCAAGAGTGTACACCTCAATGACCAAGAGGAATCCTCTTGGCTGTCAAGGGTATACACTCTCAAGTCTCAATGGCCGAGGGAAACCACCTCAGCTGTCAAGGTTTACAGTGCCCTCCCAGATGTGTATAGTACCCTATTTACTTCATTTGAAAAAAAGGTACAATCTAAGATTCCAGATGATGAAAGAGAATGTGGAACAAAAAGAACCTAAAATTGATGACATCATAATTTAAAAAAATGAAATGAAAATGCTTTTTTTAAACAATTGTTTTAAAAAGGGTCTTGGCCAATCAACTCCCAAGAATTGGAGAGTCAACTCCCAAACCCCAAAACCCCTGAAATTTCCACTGAAAACCCCCATCAGCAGGATAGCATTTTTTGCTTCTTGCATCTGTCATTTTTTTTGCTCATGCTTTAGCAGTGCTCTGGTTTCACAAACAAGGAGAGATTGCTTCTTGCAAGAAGCTATCATGAGCCCCCCTATTGATACTCTCCAATATTGGGATTCACAATAGCTTCTTGTTTGAAGTGCTCTTGGTTCTTGCAAGAAGCCGCAGCACTGCTGCAGACATAAAATTTAGCGCAGAATTTCAAATTTTTGCCGATAAAATTAATGTCATCAATGTGCAAGCAAGAAAAAAAAATGGGTGCAAGAAGCGAAAAACACTACAGCCATTCCAAGAAAGGTTGTCCAAGCCAAAAATAAATTTTTCCTCCTCAAAAAATCTTTTCTTTTGCTCTACACATGTGCATAAACCACATCAACTCAATAGTCATAAACTGACTCAAGGAGGACTCCCACCTCACAGTGTGGAATTATGTGATGGAAGGCTCAAAAACTTGGCTCTGAGCCAGTTGAATTCTTGTTGATTTGTCAAAGCTTATGCATAGGGAGCATAAGATTTGACCAGGAAGAAAAATTTTGAGGAAGAATTTTTTTCAGACATGGATAACCTTTTCCAAACTAGCTGTATTGTGAACCCGGCTAACATGTTTTGAAGGCTCAAACAAGCTCAAAAAAAGTTTGATTTTTTGTCTTGACAATTTGAACATCGGGAAGACCCGGCTTGGTTTCTTGCCGTCTACATATGCACAACTGTAGCTGCGCTGTCTCTGTCAGTCACTTGCTTGCATCGCATCGGTCACTTCCCCCGGGGGTCCGCGGGGCTGAGGATTCCACGGTGCCCTGAAAATGTAGCAGGGAAATTTACAGTGAGCAGTTCTTGACAAATCCACGAAAACTTCTGACTGGTCATCAAGGCAAAGCCCGAGTGCGGATCGATTACGAAATGGCTGACGACGAGAATCAGATCGAAGCCGAAATTCAGGCTGAGCAGAACGCTCGTCTGCAGAAACGCGATGCGTCGACCCAACGGACCGATACCAACAAGGCATCCCTAACCGGTGGTCCTTCGTACGACTTAGACATCTACAGCGGCGACGGTCGGTTTGAGGGCTATGATACAAGGTAAGATACGTTCCAAAAAGCTTTCATCTGCTGTCTCTATCAAAAATGTGTGATTTTTGGTGGTTGACAATTAGCTGATTGCATGATGTAAAACAGTATTCAAGTCGGGGGACGAAATGTCGATCATATGGATGAAGATGAAGAAGAAAGGCCCACCAGAATGCTAGATTCGTGTAAGCCTTCCTTGCTCATCGCACCCAGTCTCACTAGCTTCATTTGTCGCTGATTGTCTTTGTAAACCATTTAGACACTGCACCAAAGCAATTTTTACAAGAGTTGGCCGATGATGCAGAGGACGCAGAAGATCCGCTCCTTTCCGCCCTCAAGGCTAAAGAAATCCAATCCCGCCAATCTGATTACCACAAAAGACGATTCGATCGTGACCCTGGCGGGGCTGTCGGCTCAGATCCATTTGCAGCCCAGTCAGACAAAGCTCAAGAGGAAGGTAGTTACAAGGAGGCGATGCGCAGGGCCGAAATAGAACGAGAAGAGGCACGGGTAATGAAAAAAATTAAAGAAAAGCAGGATGAGACATCTGATCAGATGGATGTTGACCATCCGGAGAGGGCCAAAACGCCTACGATGGAGGAACCGCCGACGCCTGTCTCTTCTACTGGCAGGAAAAAACGTCGTTGGGATGTAGCTGATCCCAATGCTAGCACCACTTCAGGCGATTCTACTGCAACTACTCCATCAACTGGTGAGTGGTCCAACACCGATGGATCAGGCCCCTCGGTCAAGAAGTCCCGATCAAGATGGGACCAGACTCCAGCTCCCGGAACAGCAGATGGTGCTACCCCCAGGAAATCTCGTTGGGACCAAACACCCGTTATAAACAATGGGGCCGCCACACCGATGGCCGCTGGACAATTCGGGCAGACTCCGCTTCATGTTAGTGGCGCTAACGGGCTTGCGATCCTCGGCGGAGAGATGTCAGAGCTTGACAAGCGAAATAGACCACTTTCGGATGAAGAGCTAGATGCCCAACTTCCATCAGAAGGATACGAAATCGTTACTCCACCGGCCGGCTATGCCCCCATTCGCACACCGGCCCGCAAACTGATGCAAACCCCTGCCAACACCAGCAGTGGGTTCACCATGCAAGAAGACTCGGCCGGTCTTGGGGGCTCAATGAGCTTGGCACCGGAGCTGCCCACGGAGATCGAAGGCGTTGGTCAGCTGCAATTTTTCAAGCCCGAAGATGCACAGTATTTCGGGAAAATCTTGTCTGGCGAACAAGATGAATCTACTCTAACTATAGAAGAGTTGAAGGAGAGAAAGATTATGCGTCTATTATTGAAAATCAAGAATGGTGCTCCACCGATGCGAAAGACGGCCTTGCGACAAATCACTGATAAAGCTAGAGAATTCGGCGCAGGTCCATTGTTTGACAAAATCCTACCCCTTCTTATGGAACGAACTTTGGAAGACCAGGAGCGACATCTGCTAGTGAAAGTCATTGATCGTGTTTTGTATAAGCTAGACGACTTGGTACGACCCTATGTACACAAGATTCTCGTGGTCATCGAACCTCTGTTGATCGATGAAGATTACTACGCTCGAGTGGAAGGTCGTGAAATCATTTCCAACCTGTCCAAGGCTGCTGGACTGGCTCACATGATTTCAACCATGCGGCCTGATATTGACCACGTAGATGAATATGTTCGAAATACGACTGCAAGAGCTTTCTCGGTAGTGGCCTCTGCACTGGGTATACCCTCCCTCTTACCCTTCCTGAAGGCAGTGTGTAAGTCCAAAAAATCTTGGCAAGCTCGTCATACGGGTATCAAAATCGTCCAACAGATTGCTATCATGATGGGATGTGCGGTCCTCCCGCATCTGAAAAACTTGGTCGAATCTATCAGTCATGGATTGGAGGACGAGCAGCAGAAGGTCAGGACGATGACTGCGCTAGGGATTGCGGCACTCGCCGAAGCTGCTTCTCCCTATGGAATTGAAAGTTTCGATAGCGTTTTGAAGCCGCTGTGGACCGGTATCCGGAAACATCGTGGGAAAGGGCTGGCAGCGTTTTTGAAGGCAATTGGGTTCATCATTCCTTTAATGGATGCTGAATACGCGAATTATTACACTAAGGAAGTGATGGTCAGTATAAACTTCTCCACTCTCTTCCAGAGCTATTTTTGTGCTAAACATATTTGTGCGTCTTAGGTGATTTTGATCCGAGAATTCCAATCTCCCGACGAAGAAATGAAGAAGATTGTGCTCAAAGTCGTCAAACAGTGCTCAGCGACAGACGGTGTCCAACCTCAGTATGTCAAAGTAGAAATCTTGCCCCAATTTTTCGCCAACTTTTGGGTCCGAAGAAGTTAGTATCTTATTTTATTTTATTTGAAGAAAAACCTTCCCCCTCCTTGTCGTTCTATCCTTCCGATCCGCAAAATTAACCTGAATTTTCGTGGTTCATAGTGGCGTTGGATCGACGCAACTATCGGCAGGTAGTCGAGACTACTGTAGAACTGGCTAACAAGGCTGGGGTAACAGAAATCGTCAGCCGTATTGTCAATGATTTGAAGGATGAGTCAGAGCCGTACCGAAAGATGGTGATGGAAACCATTGAAAAAGTCATATCGGCCCTTGGAGCGAATGATATCGATGAACGTCTCGAGGTCCAATTGATTGACGGAATTATCTATGCCTTTCAAGAACAAACAGTAGAGGATATTGTAATGCTTGAAGGTTTTGGAACCGTCGTCCATGCCTTGGGTAATCATTTATTCTATCTATGCAACTTCATCAGGTACACGTGCTGATCAACCACCCACTCATTTTAGGAATTCGGGTCAAGCCTTATCTTACTCAAATTGTTTCCACTATCTTGTGGAGGTTAAACAACAAATCGGCCAAAGTCCGTCAACAAGCCGCTGATTTGACCAGTAAACTGGCGGTCGTGATCAAACAATGCGGGGAAGATCAGCTGTTATCTAAACTTGGAGTAGTTCTATTCGAACAACTTGGTGAAGAATACCCAGATACCTTAGGAAGGTGTGTCCCCAATCCAAACTTCTCTATCCAAATATTGGTCAATCCTCAGCTCGCTTACTTCCGGGTGTCTTTTAAACTATCAGTATAATCGCTGCCGAAGCTTCCATTGCCAATGTGGTGGGTATGACACAAATGAGCCCACCTGTGAAAGACCTTCGTGAGTGAAGCGTTGATTAAGAAGTCATAATCAGTTCTCAACTTGTATTAAACCTCGATTTTGTTTTCAGTGCCTCGGATGACACCTATTCTTCGGAACAGGCACGAGAAAGTGCAAGAAGCATCGATCAACTTGATTGGTCGAATTGCCGATCGTGGAGCTGAGTTTGTCTCTGCGCGTGAATGGATGCGAATTTGTTTTGAGTTGCTTGACTTACTCAAGGCCCACAAGAAAGCCATCCGACGAGCCGCCGTCAACTCGTTTGGCTACATCGCGAAAGCTATCGGTCCGCAGGATGTGTTGAGTGTTCTCCTCACAAATCTGAGGGTCCAAGAGAGACAGAGTCGTGTCTGTTCAACAGTTGCGATAGCCATCGTCGCGGAGACTTGTGTAAGTGAACTAGCCTATTTGCCATCTTAGACCCTTTTACTAGTACTCAAGCAATCCCATTTACTGTTTTATAGGGTCCCTTCACCTGCATACCTGCTATTTTGAACGAGTATCGAACTCCAGAGTTGAACGTGCGAAATGGTTGTTTGAAATCCTTGTCGTTTTTGTTTGAGTACATGTAAGCTTTTGGCAATCCCACCTACCTCATTCACTGCTGACCTCTTGGAAAGAGGAACTAACTTTCAAATCTGTCGAGGGATCAGTGGCGAGATGGGCAAAGATTACATCAATTCGGTCGCTACCTGCTTAGAGGATGCCCTGACAGATCGGGATCTAGTACATCGTCAGACGGCTTGCTCGATTGTGAAGCATCTTGCGCTCGGTACGGCTGGGTTGGGGCAGGAAGATGCCAATCTTCACTTGATGAATCTTGTTTGGCCCGTGAGTTACGCTCATAGGTGGTGATCCAATTGGATGTAAATATTCAGTTCAGCTTACAAACTACTATTTTGTAGAATTGCTTTGAAACCTCTCCGCATGTTATTGGTGCCTGTAGTACGTATCTTCCTGCCATGCGTTCTAGTCTTTGCCGATATGGTACTGATTACTTTGTTTTCATCTTCCATTTGATTTCGGATGTATAGTGGATGCCATTGAAGCCATGAGGGTGGCTGTTGGACCAGGAGTGGTATTGCTTTACACGCTCCAAGGGCTCTTCCATCCTGCTCGGAAAGTGCGGGAAGTGTACTGGCGAATCGTAAGCCAACATATTTCCATTTCTAGCTTCTTTTAGAAATAGACCAAAAACTGATTGATTTTGTTTTCTAACGAGTAGTACAATTCAAATTATCTGGGAGCTGCGGATGCAATGGTTCCATTCTATCCCAACTTGGCCGATGCATCCGATGATGTAAGGGACTACAGTCGTGACATGCTCTTAGCCTGGATCTAGGCCCCCACATCGTTGTACATTCAATCATTCCCCTCTTCTTTCTCGTCTTAAATCATCAATGCTTTGTTACGATCCGAAAACTCTGAACAAGCTTGGAACTATTTTCTCTTGGCTCGGCGATTCTATCCTCAGATATAACCCTGAAATGCAATCCATTCATCAAAGACAAAAGAAAAAAAGGAAGCAGAAATCATAATTCACTGTGGCTTGACTTCTTGAGCAAGATGTAAGCTGTTGTTGGGTTCCATACTAGAGCGCTCCAAATCATAATCCAAGCCATTTTTGAATATTTCCTTGTGCTTTGACTCAGGCCTTATAACCACAAAATAGGACCGCGCCTTCTCAGGTATCACCGCCTCACTGGGTACAAATACGCACCCAAGATGCACATCGTATGTAGTGTCAGATTCATGAAGAATACCAAGCAAAGATTGTACTATGCTCTTAATTCCTTTAGATAATAGCGGGTCAATTTCCTTTACATTGATTTTAGGGAATTGTATCTTGAAATGTTTTAATTCCCATTTTCTAGCATGTTTGATTGTCGTTTTCAATCAGGCCACCGCATGGAAAAAAAGGAGCTACACTTCACAAATCAAGCTTGGCATCACAAAGTGTCTGCAACATTGATCTTATTGAAGAAGGTTCTACTCCACAACTATGACAAGCTGTGATTCACTCGGGTTTTTTAACAGGTACAATCACCGCCGGGCCTGCCGTTTCTGAATAGATCCAGACAAATTTGCAAAGGACATGCCCCTGAAAACGTTCATCCCACTAATTATTCCGGGAGATCCATGCAACCTTGAATGTGGAGCACTGTTGTGTCCGCAAGGTGTTTTGATGGTGCACTACGTGGCTGTCAAGATATCCACAGCCACGCTCTCTTGAAAGATGCCCCGGTGAGCGCATGTGTATGTATGTACCGATTCTCAGAATCTGGCCCCGGCTGCTTTCAGATGCATTTGGCGCAAGTCGACCGGGTTCGGAGCGGCTTCCAAGCCGATGCACTCGGAAGAATTTTCCAAAAACGTGTACTTCGGTTAACACTGTTAGCACCACTTCATTGCCAAACCTAATATTCACTAGTCTGCATGAATTCAGCTGGAGAAAGATAGACGAGCCCTTGAAAAGTCCGATATTACACACCAGCTAAGATAACATCGTCTCGCAGTATTGGACCGGCTAAGATAACATCGTCTTGCAGTATTGGAGGTTCGAACGATCACTCTAAAACTGCGATTTTCTTATTCAAGAAATCCTCCTGACTTGTCAGGGCATGAATACAGACTTGACTTTGTTTTGATTCTTCGGTCCTCGGTGTTGTTATACTTGTTCGTACTCACTGTAGCTGGGTCATGAGAAGGTGCACCCAGATGACGTGATGAATCCGTTATTTTCATCATGCGTTTCAGACTCGGCGGGCCTCGCCGAGTCTGCTTGCCTCTTGAGCTCTTCAAAACTAAATGTGCAGATGCCGAGCGATCAGGTCTTCAAACACATCACTTAAATGCACCCTGGAGCTTCTCAAGTCTTGCGCCCCCAGACCTGACCGGATCCACGAAGAATGAGAATGTCTTTCCCGAAGCAAGCTCTCCAGAAGACGCTATCGACCATAAGCCTCTTGCTAATTGCCATCCTTCACCTGTCTTCCGCCTCAGGATACTCGAATCAGCTCGGATACCTACTTAACAAGCCAAATGCTCTGCAATCTCACAACCACACTCTTACAGACGTTCAATCTAGCTGTGTCAAGAAACCGCTAAGCCAACGCCTGTGGCAAGACTTGAAACTGGATGCTTACCTCGAGAATTACACCGGCGGAAAAACATTATCTGTGGTTGTGAGTTCTTTCGTGCTGAATGCTCAATTCTTTTTTATCTGTGCGTAGGACACCCTTCTCACATCAGCAAAAAAAAGAAAGAAGACTTGAGAATTGAGAATGTTATCTGGCCAGGCCTTCGCGAATCAAGTGAACATGACGAACTTTGCCTGCGGAATCGGCCGGTTCTGTGATGCTGGAGAAGTAAGTCTCTCTTCCCAGGGTTCAATACTTCAAAAAACTTTCAACTGACTAAGAATTGGTACCGAAAAAAAAAGCTTTGCAGTAGTGCCAAAGCACCAGCATGGTACATTCTTGTAGGGATCCAAAACTGGAATGATTTGATGAATTCTATCTACAAGGCAATTGCCTTCGCGTGAGCCAAGTTTTCTGATAGCCACTTGGCCAACTCCAGAATTCCATTTGTACCAGCTTCAACTAACCCATTTAAATATTGCTTAGGGTAGGGACAGTCCAAGGTAAATCATCCTCTTAAAACTCGGAGTTCGATTATCGAAATTCACCGATCATCTTCATCCCCATGTTACTAACACGTAGAGCAGGCTCCTTCCATGGTTCGTTTGAATCTCAGCTTAACTTATCTCAACTTTTCTCAAAGATTGGAATTGAAATGAGGCTATTTTTTCCGTCCAAAAACACACATCAGGTCTCAGATCTATCTCCTCCTCTGAGCCCTTTCCCGATAAAAGTAGCGACGTAAGTGATCTGTCTCTGCAAACACACCCAGGCAGGTTTAGCTGAGTTGAATCAAAACCCGTCATCGTTTTTTTCTTTTGTGTCAAAGGATCATCAATATCGTCGCAGCAAGCGTCAGTATAGTGCCTGGTTTCCTCTTGCCAGGGACCGGGATTTGGTACTATCTGGTTCTGCAAGGCGCGCTTTATACCACGTTTTCGGAGATAGGGTTTTATTGTAGCGCGGTTCGACCACCACCGGACGTGGTGAGTGGATATACCAAGGTGAGTCCATTTGAGAATATAACAATAGATTTTTTCAAAAAATCTGAACCGGTGAAAAAACAAAATCAATGTCACGTAGTGGACACATTACGCATGGCTTCTATCTTTGCTTCAAGACCGGGGGCAAGAAACGGTGGCCAATTCGACACTGGCGACTCTCCAAAGCGGGATCAGCACCGACCAAGGGATCTATGGCGCGTTGAAGAACGGCACTTTTCTCCAGCCTGGCGGACAACCCTCCGCGGTGGCATTAGAGAGATCGCTCGAGCAGATCATCAAGGTCCAATTACTCGCGGCTATCTTACGATCACAGGTCTGCTTAAACAAAACTTCACCTCAATTTGAGGGCCCACTATTGTGCTAACCTGTCACCTCAATCTATTAATCTTTTCAAGAATGTCTATATCACCCGCGGTAGCGTGCGTTTCTAATCATACCCCAGTTGGGTAGACTTTCTTTTTCGGTGCTGACATGCTTGATCTGTTTAGGATCCCTGCAACAAGTCTGGACCTAATGGGGCATTCCTAGGTCCAGACATACTATCATATTGTGGTAAAGATGGAGTGTAAGCCACAGATTGATTTTTTTTTCAAGATGACATTCCCTTAATCTTCGTTGTTATTTCTCATTTTTTATTATTATTTGAATTTGATATAAAACAAAAATAGAATGATGAATATCGTTCAAGCAAGTGGAACAAAAACGAATATGAAGTTCTATGGAAGCTCCAAAATCGTCGAAAAGCATAATTTCTCGGTCGAATTTCTGACCGAATCTGCTTGGAAATGTCAATCTAAATACAACCAATACGACTATAATCCTTACAAAAACGGGTAAGAAAGCTATTTATTTATTGTTTAATGGATCAATTACTAATAAACCACCAATCCTTTTTTTACTTGAAAAAAATAGAACCGTTCCAACGGATGTGAATTCAGATTGCGTGTTCAACCTACCAGTATGTGATTGCACGCAAACAAGTGAGTGTGCTCACCACGTTGTTGTTTTTTTTTTTTGCCTGTGATCCGGGTCAAGAAAAGAACCCGATCAATTTTTTGTCAGAGGTCAACTAATTCTGAGAAAGAAAAAAAACTTTTGCCCAGATATTGCCAAGGCGCGTAAGAAGGGTATGCGGACTACGAAGGCGTGTCATCGAGCAGGCGTTCCAGTCTACGCCAAAGAGCAGCAGAGCGAACAGAAAATTGCACTCTCCAGATGATCTAATTGTTAAGAAAAACAAAACGAAGATCATATTTTGCTTGCTTCTAAATATCTTAGTGCACTCTGTAGACTTATCTGTATCCTTCTTATTATCTCAGTCATATTTTCATTTAAATTGAGCACTTAGTTTGGATCACGAATTCATTTACCTCGTTGTTGAATCTCTACCATTGAATCACTTAGCATTTTTGGCTTTGTAACATGTTAATGTTATACATTTTATCCGCTATCACGCAAACAGGAGATGAAAGAGTTCCAAATCCCCTGATCTACATAGATATCATAACTTGTTTGCATAGCATCTTAGACGATTTTTTTTGGTTTATTTTGTTCTGAAGTGACTAGGTTTAATAGCACTGAAATAACTAGGAGGAGATGTAAACATTGGACAGCTTTCCTAATGATTACCCGAGGCAAGTGGCTCCTGAACTGCTGCTGGTACGGAAGGAATTGTAGTCCTGAACCCGGCCGATAATGTTGATCGTCGTTTTGAATAATGCTGAGAATATTCATGAACCCGCGAGCCGTCACTAGTATGCTTGGGATGGGATGTCTTGGGGGGATCATGGGCTTTGGTGGATGGGTGATCAGTATCGATGGGTGTGTCATGAGCTTCGGACTGGGTGGATGTTGAGTCGGCCCCGTCTACTTTTGGCAGTGTATCTTGTTGTGTTGTGCTTGTGTTCCAATCGCCTCCTTGGACAGATGCCCTCTTGGAAATACGGATAGGCGTTCCAATACGCACGTTGAGAGCTTCTAGTCTAACCGGCGTTGTACGAGCATTCTCAGGACTACTGGGAGCGGTAGAACGCGCTTCTGAGATGGAAGCTTGGAAAATTAAATACATCTAGGTCAGCTGGTGTGAATCTAACCAATAAGCATGTAGTTTCCTTGTTGCTTACCACTCAGGAGAAAGGCTCCGGCAACAAGAGTGAGACGCATTTTTCGTGGATATGTTTGGTTTTGGAAGAGAGAGAGGCTTCTTGTCTTTCGAACTCTTGGATGTCTGAGGAGGATAGGGGAATTTTTTTGAAAGGGTGACAAGATATGGAAAGCTGTGAGAGATGGTTATGGTGGATGCAGAACCAACTACCGCTTCTTACCCCCAGTATTTATAGAGTTTTCTGTGGCACCACAAAGCATCTTTCGTTTGGTCCTTGCACTGCAGCAGGAGGACAGCCAGATTGGCCTATCCACCTGCTGATGCCCTGGCCTAGCAAGCCCACTCCATAAGACCGACCTGGAAGTGAATGGGCAGAAGAGTAGGCTTGTAACGGGGCTCGGAATGGATGCTATGAAAACATTGACCCAGTCGCGCATCAGCTCGATTTGACTACCATCTCTTCGCCAAGCTCGCCTACATATTCACATATTTCAGCCAAGCACTGACAGTGTCGTGCAAAATCCAGGTACATCGCGCCTCGATGTACACCCCTAGTCTAATCCGAGAGATTGATAAATCCTGAATCCGATTATTAGGATTAGCATGTAACAACATATAGCATTTTTGAGCCTCAAACAAGACCTGACTTAACAAAGCCTCCCGGGACTGGGGGTGCAGAGCACCCCGATGCGAAGCATCTCCCATTCCTTCGGAGGTCGCGCTTCGCGCGAGGGCGCTTCGCGCCAGCCCTGTACCAGGGCCCTCCAAAGCGAGGGATTTGTGTTAAGTCAGAACAAGACAAGGTCAACCACCACTGGTCATTCAAAAACATGCGTAATAGGTTCAGTGCAGACCCGAATGAGGAGTGGGCTAACCAAGTATATCTTTCACATCAAGGCCTACATAGTCGGAAATAAAAGAATAGCTTTCGCCATTATTCCAGTCTTGTAGTTATGCACAACGACAACAAAAAGCTAGACTTTCATGTTCACTGATTGTAGATTATTATTTGCAAAGGATGAAATGAGATATCTTCTATGAACTATTCCATGATTGTATCAGACGGGAGTCTAATCACCTCTCGCAGACGTTCTTGGGCAACTGAAGAGAATGGAAGATCGGACCAAATCGAGCAACTTCCTCGGTATCTCTTCCCAGAAAGTCTTGTGCGGTAGGTCATCCAGTCCCGTTGGGTTTTGGAGAGGTTAGGAGGTTCAGTTTGTTGAACTTGTTCTATTCGTTTCCATATTTGGGCAACACTAAATGTCTCGAGGCTTACCACACGAACATCCTCCAACAGTTACATTTCAGATGGAAATTTTGATGAGGAAAGCTGACTAGGAGATAATCAGTTTTGTGATGATGGTTTGTTTATGAGCTTCGATGGTTTGAAAATATCTGTCGCAATCCTTTTTTTTTCTTCATAGACTGAATCTTAGTTACAGATTTCATACAAGCAGCCATGCATCTGCTTTGTAATTGAGCAAAAACATCAGTCCTTATTGACCTCAACGTCTTGGATTAAACTTGGATTTGCAAGCTTCTACTCACTGGCCTAATATATTGACGATGGCGCAACTGGGTGCATGCAAAGGGTCGAATTTCCTTCATCTCAGATGTAGGTATCAAGTTTTATGTGACCGATAACTGCAGTAAAAATGAATAAACGTGGTCTATGCGCGTAAGCACATCTCATTCAGCATGGAGAGTAAAAGATATATCGAGTCGAACCAGTGGATGATGCTCTAACAGAAGAAGGTTCTTAGCAAGTTGAACTTTCTGGCAACCCAGGAGATCCGAAATTGAACTTTTGGGGAGGCCTCTGCAATGGTAGCCTAACAAGCGCGAAGAAGACTTCTGCAACGCAAGTCTTCATGGAAAGGCAGACCGTGTATATAAGCGGCTGTTCTCTGCTCCATTCTGCCTCTCACTCATCCCATCGAGGAAGTTCATCCAGCGAGCCACCAAGCACTACAACCTCAAATCTCTCCTTTCAGCTCAACAACACAACCCCATACCCATTTCGATTGCAACGATTCAAGAGTGTAAGCCGTCTCTTCCTAGTCGAAAAGGAAAACAATATAGGTTTCTGATGTTATTTTCGGCAAACACTTCCACACCTTTGTTTGTACAGCTCGCATTCTTTGAGATCCAGAATGAAACTCTTCGTCACGCTCACTTTTGCCGTTGGGCTGTTCTTGGGTAAGTGCCTTTTTCCATCCACTCTGGTTTTGAGCCATGCCTTCGCCTCTCAATCAAGTCGAAAGGTTATCTGAATTGTCTGGTTGGCGTTTACAGCTCAAGCCCCGGCTCTGACCTCGGCCACCTGTTTTGGCACCCGTGACGTTGGCAGTAACATCGAAGCGTAAGTAATTCAGATATCCTCCTCTCGATTACGAAGCGCTGGAGCTCTCATTAATCTGGCTGTGTGGATTTCCCTCTTTCTCCAGATTGAAGAGCGGATCGATCGACCGCCGATCCTGTTTTTCCAAGAAGAAAAAGCACGAAGAGAAGAAGCACTACTACTACGATGATGATTATAATTACAAGCTGGCTAAGCGCGACGCAGTTCATCCCAAGCACCACGACGAAGCCAAGGTGAAGGTCGAATCCGCCAAAAAGCTTCACGCTCGCAGTGAAAACGATCTTTATTACAACGGCAAATATCATTACGATGGTGAGGGGGAATATTACGGTGAATCTCACTCCGGGAATGGTTACGGCGGCGGTTACGGAGGGGGCTACGGAGGGGGCTACGGTCGAGGCGGCTACGGAGGGGGCTACGGTCGAGGAGCTACGCCGAGGGGCTATGGTCGAGGAGGCTACGGAGGGGGCTACGGTCGAGGCGGTTATGCCGAGGGGCTATGGCGGAGGGGGCTACGGTCGAGGGGCTATGGCCGAGGGGGCTACAACGACGGGGGCTACGGCGGTAGAGGTGGCTACGGTGGCGGAGGCTACGGTGGTAAGGGTGGCTACGGTGGTGACAATGATTACAAGAAGTCTTGAATGTTCCTCAAGATTTGATTTGTCTGTCTTGTCCCGATCCGCGCTGCTCCGGCTTGTTGTTTATCTGAGCAATTGGTGAAATCCAGTAACAGCTTTTAACTGTCAGGCTCCTGCCAGATTGTCCTCTGTCCGCCCCTTTCATTTTGAGTTGAATGATGAGAGACGACGAGCCATCCTGTTTCCAGATGTTTGTTAGAATCAACTGAGACGCTTCAAATTTGCCTCGTGTCTAGACTGTAACTTAACCACAACCAATCATGAAAATTAAACTTGATGTGTGAAACTGATTCTTCACTCAAAGGCAATTTTGATGGTATTGATTTTGTCCCCCAGAGGGGTAGGTAGTTTACAAAAGGTTTTCCACAGGAAAAATTTGACCTGACTTGTTTGGCATTTGGCATGATTGAATTTTTTTAGCTCTTGCAATCTTTGCCCTGAAAAACAAGTCTTGCTCCTGACCACTCCCAATCTTACCATTCCAGCTGGGGGAGCTACCCTCTTTTTTGCAAGGCCTTTGGTTACAAGGCTGCCCTAGCAAGGAATCACCTGTACAATTATCTATTTTGCAATCCCCTCAACTTGGGATCTGGGAAGGGATTGGTTGTGCCATGAGCTTCACAAAATGTGAATAAAGTAAAATTATGCTGTCCTCTTTTAAGTTGACAATTTGAAACTGGAATAAGCTTTTCCATCTGCAATTGGTCCACTTCTCAAGTCTCATGGTCAGGACCCTATCTATTAGTGGGGTTCACAATAAGATTTTGTGAGGAGAATACTTAAGAGCCTTGGTATTTTTGAGCACTAGATGGGAGGCTTAAATTCTAGCTTAGATTGAGCTAGCCTTTGAATGGATCAGGGAAAGGTTCTGTAAAGTTTAAGCTGTGAGTTGACCCCATGGTTGATGAAGATGGGAGTATGGGGTGCCCATATGCTGAAAACCATACAGCTGATTGTCAGATGGTTTTTGGGCTTAAGGTACACTCACTTGATGGCACACCAACTGTCAGCTGAGCATGGCTGTCATCCATCACATTGGCTCACCAGATGCCACCAGGTTGGCCTGCATATTTTCAACTGTAAGGCCTTGTTGCCAGAGGCCAGTTTCTGGTGCAGAAGACTGGCTAATCCAATTCAAGTTCACAGATTGCACCTGCCATGAACAATGGGGTGCCAGGTGAGGTACACTTCAGCTGTGTTAGGCAGGGTGGCATTGTTTCATTGAGTGCCCCAATGTTACAAGAAACCCCTTCATGGCCAGCACAGTCTGTTGTGCTAATGCAATAATGCATTGTCTGAGCCAAAAAAGGTTCTAAAAGGGGCTGTGTATGCACAGACCTCAGGGTGTCCACCAGGGTTCTTGGTTGAATCAGCTATGTTTAACTTGAGATTGAACTCAAGAACACCACATGTCAACTGACAGCACTTCAGCAACATTTTTTCACAGTGTATATGTTATACAGTTGCCAATGGAAAAAACAAGTCATACATACCTGAAATATTATATCTGTCATTTCCCCCCTTGCAGGACTACCACCATCCCCTGAGGGATTCTCAAACCAGGGGGGGGGGGGAATACACCAATACACCAATTCCATATGCATATTGGTGGACACATGTACAGTGGGTTGACAGAAAAACCCAAACCCCCAAACATCCTTTTTTAGGGGTCAAAATCAAACTTTTTGAGATTTGTTTTTGGGTGGATGGAACAATGGGGGATTGGGAAAGTGATCACCACAGTCATTTTATTGCATTTCCAAAGAAAAAAGATACATCAAAAAGAAAATCCCCATTTTTTTCAATTTTGTTTTGAGAAAAATACAAGGGGATGGTTAAGGAGCTAGGATGAATGATGGAAAAAAATGAAAAAAAAAATGAAAAACAACAGTGTTCTTTACCTCTGGGGGCTCATGGACAATGGCTTTGAATTCCAAGGTGAGTCAGAATGCACTTGTTGATGCAACTGAGTTGTACTAGCTAGTATTATGGAAACAAGGTTGATTTGGGTCTTCATTGAATCAAATGTTGAGGCAAGATTGGAGAGAAAGTTGATGGTCAACAGAAGACCATTGACAATCTGTTGGTTTAAGGTAATGGTGTACTCAGGTATCACAGCGGGTGACACCTGCCAATTCCAAACCCATGCACAGGGTTCAGATTTTTCTGTCGAGCCACTGTATGCAAACCCATAAATAAATATTGGTTCAAGTGATGCATATTCATAAGGTGATACTACATATCTCACCCCAAACTGCCCTAGACATCTATTTTCAGTGTTGATTTGATGTTCTGAAGCAATTTTTCAGCATCCAGGAGGCTCAAAAAAGTGCAACAAGCTGAAAATACCAAGAGAAATCCTGGATTTTGAATATGCAGGTTGGTTTTTGGCATCCACAACTGTAGCGCAAATAGGAGAAAAACAGCCTTACATGACATTGTAACATCTGAGACAAACTTTTTTTTAACTGAAATCACTCTGAGGAGACAAAAAAATTGGAGAGATTTCCTAATTATTGCCCAAGGCAAGTGAATCCTGAACTGCTGCTGGTACCAAAGGAATTGAAGGCCTGAATGCGGCCGATAATGTTGATTGTTGTTTTGATTCATGCTGAGAATATTCATGAACCCATGAACCGTCACTAGTATGCTTGGGATGGAATGTCTTGGGGGAATCATAGGTTTTGGTGGATGGGTGATCAGCATTGGTGGGTGTGTCATGAGCTTTGGACTGGGTTGATGTTGAGTCAACCCCATCTACTTATGAAAGACCAGAAAGACGTAAGGAGCTGAGATCAAGTGTATGGAGAGAGCAGCAAGGCAGAAAAGAAGAGACAAGCACCTGCGGATGGTGCGGGCAGACAAATGGGCTGACAAATGAGTGAGGAAAAAGGGAAATACAAGCTTGTAACTAGAGAAGAATTATGTACAACAAATGTTGAAACCTAATTTGAGTATAGACTAGCTTCTGCAGCATTTCCTCCTCACTAAGCCCCTTGCTGTTGTCTGCATTGTTTGCTGTCCTGCTTCATCTTCAAACTACTTTTGGCATTGTTTTGTGTTGTGCTTGTGTTCCAATTGCCTCCTTGGACTGCTTCCCTCTTGGAAATACAGATAGGCATTCCAATACGCACATTGAGAGCTTCTAGTCTAACGAACTTTGTACAAGCATTCTCAGGATGACTGGGAGCAATAGAAAAAATTCTGAGATGGAAGCTTGAAAAATTAAATACATCTAGGTCAGCTGGTGTGAGTATAACCAATAAGCATGCAGTTTCCCTGTTGCCTACCACTCAGGACAAGGGCTCCACTAGCAACAAGAGTGAAACACATTTTTCTTAGATGTGTTTGGTTTTGGAAGGGAGAGAGAGAGATGCTTCTTGTTGTTTGAACTATTGGATGTCTGATGAGGAAGACGGTAATGGAATGTTTTTGAAAGGGTGATAAGACTTAGAAAGCTGGGAGAGATGATAGTGGATGCAGTACCCAACTATTGCTTCTTACCCCCAGTATTTATAGATTTCTCTGTGGCAACACAATGCATTTTCATTTGGTCCTTGGACTGCAGCAGGAGAACATGCAGGTTGGCCTATCCAGATGCTGATGCCCTGCTCTAGCAAGCCCACTCCTTAAGGCTGACCTGGAAGGCTGGAAGTGAATGGGCAGAAAAGTAAACTTGCACTGGGGCTTGAATTTTATAAAATTATTGACTTGGAATTCATCAGTGTTCTTATTTTTGACTGACTGATTGAGTCGGAATTTCCAGCTGCACATCAGCTTGATTTGATGGCCACCATCTCTTTGCCAAGCTTGCCTACTTATTTCAGCCAAGCACTTGAGGAGGGTAATCAGGCAGGCTTGGGCTGCCCGCGGGCCAGCAATGTAGCAGGCAGGTTGGGCTGGGTCTGATTCAGGAAATACACACCCCGGCCCAAATCCGATTACATGTTGGGCTGCCTGCAGGATGGAATTCAGGAGGTTATGCTTCCCACGGGGCTGCCTGCGGCCCCGTGTGGCCCACAGGCCTTTACCGGGTCTTTGTGCGACATTGGCTGGGGAAAAAATAGAATTACATATTGGACCTGACCAAGCAGCAAGACCCACAGCAGGGCACTCAACTGCACCAGCCTGATGGGCGGCCCAGCTAGACCCAATTCTTATTTGGGCCATCTCGGACCAGGCCTAAGTTAACCTAAGTTAAAAATGCCTCAAAAGCTTGCCCCGGACCCGGTTGGGTTTGGGCGGCCCGTTGGACACCCGGCCCAATTACCATCCTTACAAGCACTGACAATGTTGTGCAATAAACCAGGTACACAGCACCCAGATGCACACCCCTAATCTAACCAAAGATATGGTGCTTTTAACCCTTCCAACAGGAAGGAGTGTTTTCCGCATCAATTTGGAATTGGCGCTGGTGTTGTGAGCTGAGATATTCTGTACACACCTCAGCTCCAGGTTTTTTCTCTCCACAGTGGGTGATGGGCAGCTGCCCCCCCCCTTCCAATGAATTTGTCTACAATCAAGTTGTTTGTGAAACAGGACAAGGTCAACCACCATTGGTCATTCAAAATATCCGGGTTAGAGTAACATAAGTGATAGGTACAGTGCAGACGCGAATAATGAGTGGGCTAACCAAGTATATTTACTACATCAAGCCCTACATACATAGTCGGAAATTAAAGAAGAGCTTTCCTAATTATTACATTCTTCTAGTTATGCACAACAACAACAACCAAAAGCTAGAATTTCAATCACTTATCATGATCATAAATTATTATTTGCAAAGGATGAAAAATGAGATATCTATGAACAATTTTTGAATGTATCAGAGGGGAGTATAATCAGCTCTGGCAGAAGGTCTTCTGGAACTGAAGAGACTTGAAGATCGGACCAAATCCAGCAACTTCCTCGGTAACTCTTCCCAGAAAGTCTTGTGCGGTAGGCCATCCAGTCCCGTCAGACCATATCTATTATAGTTAAGCCTATTGTTTTTTTTTTGGTTTTGGTTTTGGAGAGGTTATGAGGTTCAGTTTCTTGAGCTTGATCTATTTGTTTCCATATTTGGGCAAGATAAATGGTCTGGAGGCTTACCACATTCCTAGGATAAGGTAAGCAAAGAAGAGTAAAAAGACGCTGTAAAATCATCGGAAACAAAATGATTATTAACGGCTCAGACATTCAAAAGCCCTACCAGAAATGGCCGGTTAAGACTCACAAAACGACAAAATTTCTGAATGGATTGGACGATTCGTTATGGACGGATGGCGAGTCTTTATGCGTGGGTGAAGAAGAAGCGCATGCAACCGGGGTGGGCCACGTGATATTCAGGAGCCCCTGGATTGGATCGTAGATCGTCGTCGTCGGCTTCGTCGATGGCCGGCTGGCTTTCCTGTCTTCATCCGAACAGATCAAATTCAAGAACGCGCTTTGTTGGATGTTGTTGTACTTCGATCCTTCTATCTTTAACTGCAATGATTCTTTGGGTTCAGGTTTTTTTTTTCTAGATGTTAATATCTTCATCTGGAACACAGTTATTCATACGGAAGAAATAAAAAGAAGGACCTTTATGATTCCCAGTTGTATTGACCTGAATCGTCGGGGAAGACTGATCCCCCATCCCGACTGGAATGATTTTTTCGAGTCTCCGATCGGTCCCGATTTGGTTGTAGATCAACAAGCAGACGAGTGTCCCATCTGGACAAGACTGAGAGGGATCATCAGGGGGCGGTAATTTTTTGCACAGCGAGATCAAGAGCGTCTCGGTCGTTGTTGAGGGTGGGGTAGGTCTGGTGGTGGTGATGTTTAAGGGCCAGGAAGCGGTATCAATTAACTATCCAGATCATCAAAAAATGAGAAGTCAGTCAGTTAGAAGATAGCCATGGGATCCGACCGATCAGGTTTCTTGTGGGATTGATCACTCACGTTGTTGAAGTCGTACGTTGTGGAGCCATCAGGGGTGGTGAACTTGCAGTCGACCAGATGGTTTGGGACGTCTGAGTCGGCCGCCTGGGTTCCGGGGATGACGAGTGTGTCGAAGAAGAAGAGCAGCTTGATGATGAGGACAAGCATGTCCCATGGGATATGGATATCGAGATAATTCGAGTGTCGATGAAGTGGTGGTTGAGTTTTCCTGTTGACCGAATTTGAGCCGGCGCAGAGTGTGCATGGCTGTTTCTGTGCCCTCCGTCCCTTGACCAGAACACTGCCACTTCGGTCAACGGCCCCCACATGCCCATTCTCCCCTCATGTGGCTTCAGCTGGCCACTGCTGCCAGCTTGGGCAAATACGCCTTGCGTAGGTTCGGAAGAAAGCAGTAAATTGCAAAGACCTGCAAACCAACCATTCCAAGTTTGGCATCGACACCCTTCACCGGATGACCGGATACCTATCCGGGTCCTGTGATCATTCATCAATAAGCCTCATCTCCGGGTAACCAATTAGCTCGAAAGCGATTCCCAACCATATACTACATACATCGAAGTTGTGGACCAATTATGCCATGTTGGAATCTGGCAACCAGGTGGGATCACCATGCCGGCCGTAGTATGTATCTCCACAGGCCAGCAATCCGAATATCCCGGAACTCGGAGATCATACATACACCGGCAGAGCATCCTAATTAGGGAAGGCTTTAGTGTGCCGGTGAGTTACAAAAGCGTCCAAGGCCGGCCGGTGATCCTGCTTGGGAATGTAAGACTCTTTTAGGATAGGTGGGTCTACCACGGGTCCGCACCTCACACAAATCGTTAATCTATTCAAGCCTCTTCGTCATTAAAGGAACCGACGATTCCTTGCTTTCCCGTAACCCATCGACACAAATAAAGACGTATTCCTGAAGAGAAGCCAGCATGTGGAGATCCTTGGAGATGCCTTTTGAAGGCTCGAAACCGACACACATGTCTTATCAACGGTCGCTCCATCTCGTTCTGATCTAAATATGTAAAGCTCGGCCACAATATTGTATAGTGTCTCAATCTATTTTCTTCCGGGAAGCGTTGCCAGAAGATGGAGAAGAATTCTTCTCAAAGGGTGTAGTAACATAGATGCACCTCCATCCCAACAAATATTAATGGGCTTCCAAAAATTCAAAGCATCTGTCGAGCTCACCTACATAACTTATGGTTGCGCCCCCGCCTTCCCATCCCCATCACCATCGCTTTGAACATTCTTTGCCAACCGTCTGGATTATCCACCTGCCACACGAGTGTTACATATTAATACTGCTATAGCATACCGCCATCCAGAGCTACACCTGTAAGACCAAATTAATAACTCATAGACAATCGTTCATCTTTAAAGGTGTGTGCAAATTTACTTCAATCCATGTGATTGTCCTTGATTTCCATCGACCCATTGATCAAGATAAAGCCCGGCTATCCCTTTCTTTGCTTCATTTTCCCAGCCAGGAGTTGACTCCCATTTATTATTATCATTTGCTTACTTATTGTCATCGCCTAGCGTATTGATTACGAATCCCCCAAGAAGGTATCAAAGACTTACCTTACCATGTTGGACCGAAAAATCTTTCACCTAATTCTTGTTCTAACCTTTTCGGGTGAGTTTTGAAACCCTTTCCTAATCCTCAGGCTGTCGATTGATCTTAACAGCTGATCAAAATATCCTCTTTGAAAATTTTGGCCTCGCTAATTTGAACCGCAAATCAGCTTACCTCGTCCAGTGTGAGCTGCCTTGTTATATGACCGGAAAGACCCCGCTTCCTAAGGATGTCATCCCGCCCAAAGATGTTACATGTCTAGATGTAAGTCGTCCAGATGCTCTTGGTTGGACCAGTCTTCTGCAGACACCGTTTATATTGATCTTAACTTCGTTGAACATTCACAGACGAAAATTTTCCTGGATATCCCAGATGTCACCATCGACGGCAAGAAATACGTAGGTCGTAAATTGTTCCTCTGACACACCCGCAATTTTTTTTTGTGATTCAATTTATTTACGAACCCATTAATTCATCAACAGTCGGAAATCGACTTTAAGACTCAAGCCAAAGATCTCACCCCGGCAGGATATGCATTGGCCACCTTCACCGCGGGCGGTGATAATACTGCAGAGTCTTTGGGCACGGCTAACAAGTTGTATACCGCCGTCAATGCCGCTTTGAGGGATCGGGGGAACAGATCGATCCTCTATCAATTGAAAGTGTGAGTGGTCTGGCTTTCTTGAAAATTTTTATACCAGAGCTCCGTTTACAAGCTCATACATCTTGACCTACCTCCAGAGTCGATTTTTTCATCGGCAGTCAAATTGCAGCCACTCAGGGCGCAGAGGGAAAAAAGAAACTGATCCGGAACCTCAACAAGGTCAGCCATTAGATCACAAACGAATTTGACCATGAAGTCACCCCCAAAACTTAAAGGGAGCACGTTCTTGGTATACTGACTTGGCTTTTGCTACAACGATTCCCAAATACATAGACCATCAAAAATTGCGGCCGTTGCACAACCGAAGAGCGTCAGAAATTCCAAGACATGCTCACTAAAGCAGAAGCCCTCTAATTCACCATCATCTGTAACTGGTTCTTTGTCATCCATACTCACTGGCGAAAATAGAACAGATCACCAAATCGCTTGTAACTCTTGGTTCGAAAATCATGGACGGAGCAAGGCTCTACATTCAAATGGGGCTGGAAATAACGAGCATATTGGTCTCCTTCATGTGAAATTCACGTCTGGAAATGACTTCGTGTTTTCTGCCTGACTTTTTTAATCCCCTGCATTCCATCCTAAAATTAATTTTCCAATCTCAAGTCAACAAAATTGTATATCATAACTTGTTTTTTCGAGTTCTTGTGATGTGTGATTAATCTTTCATGAAAACAATTCTGGAAAACAAAATTAGTGATGATAGAATTTCTTACTACAAATAATAGCATTTTTCCTTTTTGGATTCAATCTGAATCTTAAAATCATTATGCCAATCAAAGAGAATGCAGGATTGAGATGAAGGGAGCTAAGGTTGAAGTGGTTTCTGCTACAATTGATATGGTCCTGACCATACGGTTTTAGATGTGGACCAACTGGTCATGGACAATCTCATTCTGTTTTCAAACAGCCGACTATGATGGGACAGGATAATCTTACTATAAGCCATATTTTGCAAAACAGGTGCCCTGCAAAACCAAGCCTTTGCTAATTCCCATGTTAAGGGGGCGGAAGGTTCCAATGTGGAATTTTACAGGCGATTCCTTGCTAGGCCAGCCCCGTAAACCAAAAGGCTTGTAAAAAGAAGCGGGTCATTCTCTCCCCTGAGACGGCAAAATTTGGGGTTGATATGGTCGAAGGGTGTTTTCCAAGGCCAATGCAAAAACTGAAAAATTCAAATCAGGCCCAAGGCCAAAGGGGCTTAGTTAAACTGGAACCAGTTTCATTGAACTACCTGGAAGAATTGGTATGGCACATCAAGTTGACATTTCATGATTAGTGGTGGTTAAATTTGAATTCTCACAATCATCTGGAGACAGGATGGCTCGTCGTCTCTCAAGATTCAACTCAAAATGAAAGGGGCGGACAGAGGTCAATCTGGCAGGTGCCTGACAGTTAACAGCTGTTACTGGATTTCACCAATTGCTCAGATAAACAACGAGCCGGAGCAGCGAAGATCGGGATAAGACAGACAAATCAAATCTTGAGGAACATTCAAGACTTCTTGTAATCATTGTCACCACCGTAGCCACCCTTACCACCGTAGCCCCCGCCTCCGTAACCACCTCTACCGCCGTAGCCCCCGCCATTGTAGCCCCCTCGGCCATAGCCTCCTCGACCGTAGCCCCCTCCACCATAGCCCCCTCGGCCGTAGCCGCCTCGACCGTAGCCCCCTCCATAGCCGCCTCGACCGTAGCCCCCTCCGTAGCCCCCTCCGTAGCCCCCTCCGTAGCCCCCTCCGTAACCGCCACCGTAACCATTGCCGGAGTGAGATTCACCGTAATATTCCCCCTCACCATCGTAATGATATTTGCCGTTGTAATAAAGATCGTTTTCACTGCGAGCGTGAAGCTTTTTGGCGGATTCGACCTTCACCTTGCCTTGGTCGTGGTGCTCGGCATGAACTGCGTCGCGCTTAGCCAGCTTGTAATTATAATCATCATCGTAGTAGTAGTGCTTCTTTTCTTCGTGCTTTTTCTTCTTGGAGAAACAGGATCGGCGATCGATCGATCCGCTCTTCAATCTGGAGAAAGAGGGAAACCCACACAGCCAGATTAATGAGAGCTCCAGCGCTTCGTAATCGAGAGGAGGATATATCTGAATTACTTACGCTTCGATGTTACTGCCAACGTCACGGGTGCCAAAACAGGTGGCCGAGGTCAGAGCCGGGGCTTGAGCTGTAAACGCGAACCAGACGGTTCAGATAAAATTTCGACTTGATTGCGAGGTGAAGGCATGGCTCAAAACCAGAGTGAATGGAAACAGGCACTTACCCAAGAACAGTCCAACGGCAAAAGTGAGCGTGACGAAGAGTTTCATTCTGGATCTCAAAGAATGCGAGCTGTACAAACAAAGGTGTGGAAATGTTTGCCGAAAATAACATCAGAAACCCATATTGTTTTCCTTTTCGACTAGGAAGAGACGGCTTACACTCTTGAATCGTTGCAATCGAAATGGGTATGGGGTTGTGTTGTTGAGCTGAAAGGATAGATTTGAGGTTGTAGTGCTTGGTGGCTCGCTGGATGAACTTCCTCGATGGGATGAGTGAGAGGCAGAACGGAGCAGAGAACAGCCGCTTATATACACGGTCTGCCTTTCCATGAAGACTTGCGTTGCAGAAGTCTTCTTCGCGCTTGTTAGGCTACCATTGCAGAGGCCTCCCCAAAAGTTCAATTTCGGATCTCCTGGGTTGCCAGAAAGTTCAACTTGCTAAGAACCTTCTTCTGTTAGAGCATCATCCACTGGTTCGACTCGATATATCTTTTACTCTCCATGCTGAATGAGATGTGCTTACGCGCATAGACCACGTTTATTCATTTTTACTGCAGTTATCGGTCACATAAAACTTGATACCTACATCTGAGATGAAGGAAATTCGACCCTTTGCATGTACCCAGTTGCGCCATCGTCAATATATTAGGCCAGTGAGAAGAAGCTTACAAATCCAAATTTAATCCAAGACGTTGAGGTCAATAAGGACTGATGTTTTTGCTCAGTTACATAGCAGATGCATGGCTGCTTGTATGGAATCTGTAACTAAAGATTCAGTCTATGAAGAAAAAAAAAGGGATTGCAACAGATATTTTCAGACCATCGAAGCTCATAAATGAACCATCATCGTACAACTGATTCTCTCCTAGCCAGCTTTCCTCATCTCAAATGTAACTCTTGGATGATGCTCGGGAATCTGCGTTATTTCGCCTCTTTTTCTTCATAGTTTGCGTAGCGTATTAAATCAACAGTAAAGTTGAAGGAATCCAGAGCAAAGAGTGAATTGAGTTGAACCCGTGGACTACCCGGTCACGGAAATACAGGCTTGGCACTAATATCAACGGAATAGAATCTCTTTCATGGAATCCCCATAAGTAATGAAATGCAATCTGCACTTCTCATTTCCATAGGGGAATGCAAGATATGTATACGATCGCTTTGACAGAGGCGCTCCCCATCGTACCATTCATACTGAGACGAGAGGTTGGGGAAGGGGGGCCGTTAATCCGCAAGATTTGAATGGTGCCTCTTGCCTCGTGTCTCTAAGGCCAAGATGAGCTATCCAATTCCTCTCAATACTTCCTAGTTCCGTCAACGTCTAGCTTGTGACGCAGCATTCAAAATTCATGAAATCGTGTCGCCTTCGTAGTCAAAGGATCAGCAGGTCAAACTTAAGTTATAAATATGGCCTCGTGACATCTGATCAGGTCCACCAAAACCTTATCAGATGTCAAAAGACTTTGAAATGGAGGACTTCCCATGGGATTTATACAGGCTGTGTAAAGCTAGATTTACAGGTAGTAGAGCTAAAAATAGGTTTACAGGGGGCTGTAAAATTGACAAGTCCTCCAATATAGCTTGCCCTGCCAAACAGATCCTATATTTGGATACACATGCACCTCATCCTCTATAAACATATCAACAAGTAGCCTGGTTAGGTGGTTGGCATCATTTTCCTTGGATGTACCAGCAAAAACCAAGTCAAACTTGACTAAGTCCCCCCCCCCAGGGCACAAAGCACAACTCTCTGAAGGAGTTAACGTATGATAGAGCAGGCTTTTTTTGGAATGAGAGGTTTTTGAGAAATGGCAGAGAATCATTTAGTACTTTTGAATAAATTTTATATTATCAGAGATATGGTGAAATGAAAAAGCAGAAGGGCAAAGGACCTTGCCCCTCTGCTCACCAACCTTGGGGACCATAATCACCCTTCTTCCTCTCAAAACAGACACCCAATGATCTGTGTTTTTGGACTTTGCTGGCTGCAAAAACACATGTCTCTGTGTCAAAAAATGAGCAAACCCTTTGGTTTGGTTTTTGACCAGCATCAGTGATGGGCCATTACACTGGACTCCCCTAAACAGCCGCCCCCAAAACCAGTGCAGCAACACTGTAGTGTCAGTGCACTGTTAGTCCCACTACACTGTGTCATGCTGCGCTACAGCACTTCTGGTGGCAAAAACAGACCAGAAACCAGTAAAATGCACTGTAGCACAGATTAGTGGGCCCCTTAATTGTGTCCTGTACGTGTAGAATTAGCGCAGTTGTGGCAGAATTCCACTGAGCTACGCTAAATTTTAGTGAAATCCTGCTATAGTATGCTGCACTAATGCTAGAGATGGTCTCGGGGTATCCGTTGCGGATACCCGCTATCCCCTGGCAGATACCCGCCAGGGGATACGGATTGGGGTTCGGATGTGCCCTTTTCCCAGAAATTTGGGCGGGTATCCAGGTATCCCAAAGGATACCCGAGGCCAGAAGGGGGGATGGCCGGCTGGAAGGGTTTCCTTCCAGCCGGTCCCTTGCCGGCCGTTTAAAGGGCGGGTATCCGAGGATACCCGCTCGGATACCCGCTGCGGCCAAGGGATACCCGCCAGCGGGTTCGGATGCGGATGCGGATGGTTATTTTGCTGCAAAAAGCAGCCAGATATCCGCATCGGTGTGGATATCCGGATGCGAATTGACCATCTCTAACTAATGCTACAGTTAGCATAACTTGTCAATTGTTGCCAGCATCAAGCACCTTGAAAAACAAAAGAAAGAGCATGCAATGTAGACAAGCTTCTTGGCTACCCATCACAACCTTGATGAATAATTTCAGATCACATTTGACAAAGATATTGCTAAGCAAAAGGAAGCCTCTTTGCATATCATTCACACCAAAATGCCCATCAGTCCCCTCCTTCAGAGGGGGTGCTTTGCACCCAGGAGGGGACTTAGTTGAGTTGAGCACCAAGTGCTCCAAACTAGAATCATGATATTTACTTTTTGTACCTTCTTGCACATGCCCCACTAACCCAGATTCTTAACTCCAAGCCACTCTTTTTTAGTCTTGTTTCATCAGGTGAAAGAAAAAAATATCAGTTGGGATTATGTGTATATAGAGGCATTCCACATTTCCCCCTCAGGAATTCCAGGGAAGATACTCAATTGGGTATTTCCAGCAAAAGATAATGGATCCCTTCAAAATTTGGTTTTTGGAAGTAGCACTTAGCATTTGCCAGGATACTCCAGCCAACAGTGGGCCCTATTTGTGGCTTTGGAGCCCCCCAAACTTAACTAAGTATTCTGCTTGGGGCAAAGGGCCCCCTTCCAAAGGAGGGGACTTGAGAAAGAGTGTGATCTTTTGGTGTGAGATGCATGCACAATCAGCCGATTAATTTTTGGCAATATCTTTGCTAAAAATCATCCGAATCTGTTCATTGCGGTTGGATTAAACAGTCAGGGTGTCAAGCTACATCTCTGAAGCTTTCTTGTACATGTCCCTTGACTAAGCTGTTGCCAGCAAATAATGAAAAGGGTAGGTGGGTCAGTTTTTTCCAACAAAGACTACCATTTAGGAGAGCACAAAAGCCAAAAATGGAGGTCTTTGGATGCTCATTGATATTTTTACGTTTTCATCAGTGGTGACAAAACCCAGTAGCACAATATTTCCTAGCGTGAGCTTCGCTTGAATTTTGCATCAACTGCCAACCCACAGCCACCGAGAAGCTATGGAAACACTGAAGGTCCACGCAAGACGCACATCTTGAGTCCATCAACACAATTCGCCAACGCAACCGATGTCTTGTCAGACTAACAATTGTTGAACTATCAAGGCTCTTCGTGAGAGCAACCGATGACTTATCTTATTCTATCCAACTCTTCGTAGTTTATTATAGCTCTTCGTCACCGCAATCGATGTCTCATTTGATCTTATCCAATCGACCGTGCTCGATGTTTCCGAAGAGAGCGTTAGGATATGCTTTGGACTTGAAGGGGCGTGCTTATCAACTGTGACACATCACCACGTTCTGATCGATGCTCAGTCACAATACCCTGTAGTAATCTGTCTTCCCCCAGTAGCGTTTCCGGACAACAAGGAACAATTCAAACGGTGAAAAGGTGCCGTTTGTGTTTGAATGGGTATTCGTCAACAAGCGATGGACCAAAAAACAATTTCTAATCTTCTTTAATCCAAATATAAAAATAGTAAGGCTCCCCTGTGACATAGAATTCTGCAGTGCTAGAACGTTTTCTCTTACCATTCGCAGCATATCGTCTTAATACCCCTTAATGCAATACCGCTGTTCGAAACTAAAGAATTTGTAAGCAAGACGAGAACATTCTATCCTAAAGGTGTGTATGAACTCATTTCAATCTATGCAATGCTCGTTTTCACATTCACTATCACCTAATAAGTGGAGCTAAGCCCGGCAAGTCTTTGGCTGAACTTAGTTTTGAACGAGAACTTAATATTTTCTTCGCTTACTTTCTTTTACCTTCAGCGAACGTATTGATTACGGATGCCAAAATACTGAAGAATATCATGCCATCTCAAAAATTAATTTCCTTATTTCTAATCCTGACCTTACAATTTTCAGGTGAGAGATCTGTCTTGAAACTTACCGGTTTATGGGTAACAACTCAAGATCCCTTCTAAAATTTGTCTTTCACTATTCATATCGAAACAAATCCAATCAAGCAAACATCGTCCGGTGTCAGGCCCCGTGTTATCTCAGTAGCTCATTCCCCCTTCCTCGAGACGTCATAGCGCCCCCAGAAGTTACATGTGATAACGTAAGTTTTCCAAAACATCTTGATTTCATTCCACTATTTGACTGATTAGCATGTGCTATATTCCACAGACGAACATCTTTGCGAATATTCCAGACGTCATCTTCAATGGCCTCAGATTCGTAGGTCTTGAGCAATCCACAGTCCTGCTCTTTGATTTGTTTTAATTATGAACCTGCTTTGCTTTGACCAGTCCCAAATCAACTTTCAAACGTCAGGTGTTGCTCAAGGTCTTACCCCATTAGGATATGCCATTGCCACATTTTCTGCAGGGAACCAGAACCCAGAGTTCATACAAACAGCCGGAAAGCTATACACTGCTGTAAATGCAGCTTTGAGGAGCAGGGGTGAAAGAGACATCCTGAAGCAGTTAAAAGTGTAAATGTCATTTTCCTTCCCAAATCAATACAAAAATTTGTTTAGCTAAAATTTGTTTGGTAACTAGGGTTGACTTTTTCATTGCAAGTCAAAATGACGCTATTAAGGGTCCCGACGGGGAATGTGGTCTTACAAGAAAGTGTTAAAAATTGGCAGGGGGCTAAAATTGAGTGGCCCCATTACCAACTGAAAAAAAAATGATGATCAATTGAGGGGACATGGATGTAGCGCCCCCAATCAGGACCGGTCTTCAGTGTATACTAATGCTAGTAATGTGGTCATGAAACTTTTAATCAGTTATGCTAACAGTTAGTTTAACTTTTTCACCAGTTACACTAACAGTTAGTGTAACTGAGGGTACCACTACACTAACCGTTAATGTAACTTTGATAAAAGTTACACTAACATGTAGGCTAGTGGGTTCACCCACTAACACCACTAAAATTTCACTAACAGGATTTTGGTTAGTGTTAGTTGTGCCTTTTTAAAGGTAGCTAACACTACGCTAAAGTTTTTTTTTTTTTTTTCAAAAATCCTGTAGTGTTAGTGGGCCAAAAATTCCCTCTAACGGAAACTTTTGTGTAGCGTAGCTTAAAAAGCTAACACTACGGTTAGTGTAACTGGCACACCATGACTGAAACGACCGTCACAAAACGTATCTTGTTGACTCCTTTATCCTCTAGATCCTTCGTGGAATAGGACTCTGAATAATGCCCGACAAGGAAACATCGAACTTGCATCTGTTAGAACGGGCTGTACTGCCATTAATGCCTCGGAAAATTATTTGTCACAATAAGCCCACCATGACCTCGCACGTTGTAGGGTTTGATGCGAATGAAAGAGTCATTTTGATTGTATTTTCCACCTCCCTGGCATGAGAGCGCAATCGATGGTCCCTGTCAGCAATGTATCGTTGCACTTGGTGCCGCTTACCGACTTTTCCATTAAAATCATCTTCCATCATGTTGCAGTTATTGGTGATTTAAAATTGGGCAAAAAAGTAGGCCAAAGGGTGATGCCACGTATCAACCCGCCTGATGGGGGCATCAATTGGCCAAACTTGCACTTTGGATCGATGGATCAGGAGAGAAGATAAATCTTAAGAATTGATAAATAAAACATGGGGTTTGACGGTGGATTTTGATACACCTTGCGTTACCTCTGGGTACATACACGTGATTTTCCATCAAGTAAATTGTGTCAAATAGCAAAAGATCACGAAAACTATGCGCGAGGTATGCATCAACAGCTACCGCCCCATCCATTGTCATCCATCCACTCGAAAGTGTCGAGGGCTTGTGCTGTTGATGGGCTGCGGGGACATACTAATGAGTAATGAGTTGCACGTTGTCATCTCAGCTCAGTCGTTGCATCCTATCTCAAATTATCCTTCTCGCGGAAAGCGTCGTCAGACGACAGAGAGTGATACCATTGACGAAAACACACTCTGAGTTATTTACTTTCTGAAAACGAAAGGAGAATCGAGTTGGGTCCAAGTTTTTCAGGGAAGACAATACGTCCCGTCGGTCGTTGGCTACACGTCTCTCCCAACATCTAATGAACTCAACAGTTGCTAGTCCGCGATAGCGACACCCTACTTGAATGCATCCTCCTTCATTATTTCAAGGTTTTTCTGACCATTTCTAACCAAACGATCCATCCCTGTGATGCCGCTGTATCAGAGATAAGCCTGCTCGATAAAATATAATGTCATTCTAGAGATATGTTCATGTAACTCCGTTAATCCTTCCCATCATCACTTTCTTATTTACTTTCATCGAACCACTAGAGATAAATCCCGGCGATTTTTCATACCTTCTCCAGCTTCATTGTAATCCAGAAGCAGACCACTATATTTTTATGTCTTTTGATTCTTGCCTAAAACCAGCGTATTGATTACGGATACTAAAACGATGATCGAAACTATGTTGAATCTAAAAAACTCCCGCTTAATTCTAATCCTGGTGTTGCAATTTTTGGGTAAGAGTTCCTTCTTGAATCTCCAGCTTTAGCACCTCATAATCGACAGCTGAAGAGACGCTTGGAAATTTCGGTTGTGCGATCCGGCAATCCTTGAATCAAAAAGCACCGATTGTCCGGACTCAGTCGCTTTGCTACATTCCTAATGAAGCATTCGACCTTCCCAGCGATGTCAAACCACCCGCCGATGTTACATGTGGTTCAGTTAGTCATGAAGTCTCTTTGAATTATTTTACTCGCCTCCCATTATTGATCAGAATGCGCTATATGGGTCACAGGGAACAATCTTGGGGAAGATCCCAGACCTCATATTTTCTGGCAGGAAATTTGTAGGCCATGATCAATTCGCCACCCTATTTTTTCACTGAGTTTATATGGCCCCATTTTCCATTTGTCAGTCCGAGATCGATTTTACCAAAAGTAAGCTCACCCCAGGAGGATTTGCTTTGGCCAATTTTCAATTCGGGGGAAAAAACACCCAAGAATCATTGATAATATCTGGAAAGTTATACACCGCTGCTAATGCAGCTTTGAGGGCCAGGGGCGATAGGAAGATCTTGAATCGATTAAAAGTGTAAATGATCATATTCCTGTGATATTCGTCGATTGAGAGTCGTTTTGTCTGATGCATGATTTATGTTCGTTTAGGGTTGACTTTTTCATCACGAGTCAAATCGACAAGTCTAAGGGTAAGGAAGCCAAAGACAGCTTGCTGAAACACCTAGGCAAGGTCAGCCTTGATATTGACTTTCTTTACTCTGAAAGCGCCGAGAAACTCCTGATTTGTTTGCAAAGACTAACACCCACTTGGCCTCTTTTTTACGACCATAGGTCCTCAAGAATTGCGGCAAGCCTAAGCCTAAAGGAAATTGTAATCAAGGTGATGTTGATAAAATCAACGCAATGGTCATAGAGGCAAAAGCTCTGTAACAAAGGTCAACACCTAAGGATTACGCCTGTTCGAGAAGAAGGGAAGTGTTGCATTTACTTTCATTGGAAGCTGGAAAAAAGATGGCCCAAGTGCAGAGCTTTCCCCGGAATATCGATCTAAAGTTTTACGGCGAAGGGAGTGCTCAATTATCTAAGCCACTAGAACCTTCCAAATTGAGTCTACACATCAATTCGCACTCGTCAAAAAAACAAGTATTCTTATTTAAAAACAAAGTGAAACCCTACTTAGTATATTGTTAGTATTATCATATATGATATATTTTTCTGGAAAAGGTGGCTTATAATATCCTAACATTTAATAATTCCAAAGTGTATGTATTGGACCAGCTGCCCACCAATTTCATTAGAAAAAAAAAACCTTTTATCTGACTATTTCAGGTGTATACACAACCTGTCATACTGAGAGCTATTTGATAATGATACAATCTCTGGATTCTTCCCTCGGAGTAGCAATTTCTAGTCTTTCATGTAGTTAGATATAATCACACAGATTTATAGTTTCTCCAACAGACATTCCACTTGACAGAATGGTGCAATAATGAATACCAGAAATGTACTCCAATTAATTTTTTTAGTCCTGTCAACTTAGTTATCCAGACCCAAAAAAATCCATTTGAATTCTATTTCCAGCAATCCACTTCAAAATAATAATGAATCCTAATAGAGCAACAACATATCTAATAAATCTATTAAGGAAGCAAAAATGGGTCACACTCACAGGCTTCTTTCCTTTGATCAAATACATTTGGCCAAATGGGCTTGAAGAAAACTACTTGCAAAGTCAGGATTCAGAGTAGCTGGGAGTAGCTTTGGATCCAGCCAGCAATGGGCCGCTAAGCTAAACTACACTTAAAGCCCCACTAATTTTAGGGTAGTGGCCCTCAAAACAGTGCACACAAACTGTAGTCACTAGTATGAGTGCGCTGTTAGTCCCGTTACACTGTTTTATTTTCCCACAAACATCTCATTTAGTTTGTTTCAAAAACTAGACATCAAGAAAAATGAAAAAAGAAGAATCAGTAGATGTAAAAAGCAAATCAGAACCAGAAAATATATGAAAATTGGGTCAAAATGAAAAACATAGAACCAGCCAAACCTAGATGACAGGAAAAAAACATTAAAATCAAATTAGACCCAGATTCTGATGCTTGCAGGTATGGTTGATGTTTTACCAGCATTTTAGGTTTGTTGTTCTGATGGTTGGCAAGGAGGTACTTTTGTGTGCAGGTTCAGTAAGCCTGTCACAGGTTTTAATCCCGGACATAAACATGTGTGAGGGTACTCTTGATATCTCAGGCCAGTAGAGGTGGAACAATCCTTTCCCCATCCCTCCATCATCGATTCACTGTCTAGGCTAGTTCACTGCAACAATCATTTGTGTTGATATGTTTAGGGTATTCCAAGTTGATGCATATATGCATAAACAACAGTAACAACCTCTACCTTAAAATACCTCAGGTTAGTTACACAGAGGCTGTGTTTGTCCATGTTGTGTGCAAGTGTAATATGTGTGAAAATTGTATCCAGTCAAATTCTGTAAAATGTTTGGGAACTTCAGAAATTACGCTGCTACATTTTACTCACAAGCAGGGCCTGAATGTTCCTCCATCATCCATGATGTAATGATGCCAACAGCAACCAGAAATTCCAGTAGTTTTATTAATTAGGGTGGTTCACACTTCCCCAAATTCTTGCTTATTTCAAACAAGGTTTAATGTTTTATGCACCCAAACATGCATAAACAAAAAAAATATTGTGCATGGGCAAGTGCTTCAGGATTTGTTAACATTAATTCCTCTGCTGATTTGTGAAGTGTGCAAATGATCAAATTCTTCTTGATACAGAACAAAATATGTTTAAAAAAGAGGGCCAATCATCAATTGAAATTCAAAAGTCTGGGACATGCTGAGTGAGGTGAAGATGGCAGGTGTGAGACTTGTGTGGTAGGCTTAGCGTTGGAGGGTAGTGTCAATGCTCCTGCTGATTTCCCTTGAGCTGCAGTGTCAAACCTGACCTTGTCTCTTGCATAAACCAAAACCAGAATTTGATAAGGTTTGACTGCTGATTTCAAAATCAGCTATTTGTGAACCCTCTTATTGGTATTAGGATACACTGTATGTACTGCATTATTGCTATTGATGGTGTAGTGGGTCAGCCATTGGTGAGGGGCTGCATGTAATTTTCCTTTTTTTCCATTTAATGATGGGATTCAAACCTCAAATACAGTAGCTCTGAGGATCTTGATTTTTCCTGAAGAAACCATCAATAAGACTTTACAAAACTGGGGAAAATAGATAACCTCATAGGTTTAAGAGACCATCTTCATAATTGCCCACAGACACACGTGGCAGAATGTGACAATGATCAAGGCCACATGTTTTTGACCAGATTTCCTGCTCCCCAACAGCACAGAAAAATGATTCAAACTGGGTAAACTGTGTAATCTTAGGAGTGGATTTGAACTACTTATACAGTAGGGGTGACCATTATGAGGCTCATCCCAGGAGTAAAGCATTAACTTGAATGTGGGGTATCAGACACATCTTCCCCAATTAAAGTTGATGTATTGAGCAGCAATGAATAGTTGTTCTAAAGAACTGAGATTGTATCTGCAATTATCAGCCTCAGTGGCTCTGCCAGCGGTGGGCCGCTACGCTACACTACGCTACAGGCCCATGTAGCGTTAGCGTAGCGGCGCCATTTTTTTTTTTTTTCGCGTAGTGTTAGCGCGCCGCTACGCCCGCTGCGCTACGCTAATTTGTACTGGCGCTAACACTCGCGAATTTTTGGTGTAGTGTTGGCGCGCCTCTGGCGCCGCTACGCTGCGTTACGCTACGCACCAGCGTTTTTAGCGGCAAAAAACCCCTAAAAACCGCAAAAAACTGCTGTAGCGCAGCGTAGCGGGCAGTTTTTTGCGCCCTGCGCGCGTAGCGTTAGCGCACATGGGGGGAACCGCGCTAACGCTACGCTAAACGCTAGCGCAAGTTTTTTCCCCATTCGCGTAGCGTTAGCGCGGAAAATGAGAAAAGCGCTAACGCTACGCTAAATTGTAGCGGCTTCAACACCGGCTTCTTACTGAACCTTCTCGGCTTGTCGTATGCTTCCAAGATCATCGAGCTGAAAGATGAGCTCGAGTTCGATGTGATCTTCGGGCCGGCCTACAAAGGGATCCCGATCGCCTCGATCACGGCGGCCGAGTTGAACCGACTCGACCCACTGAAATACCATTCGCTCGGCTTCAGCTTCGACCGGAAGGAGGCCAAAACCCACGGCGAGGGGGGCTCGATCATTGGCAGCCCGCTCGAGGGTAAACGGGTGCTCATCGTCGACGACGTGATCACCGCCGGTACGGCCATCAGACAATCGATCAAGACCATCGAGCAACACGGAGGTCACTTCGTCGGTGTCCTCGTCAACCTGGATCGACAGGAAAAGTCTAACGACTCCGAGCTGAGCGCGATCGAGATCGTTGAGGCCGAGTTCAAGACTAAGGTCCACTCAATCATCAAGCTCAACCAAATCATCGACCTCCTCAAGTCCATCGATGGCTACCAAAACGAACTCCTTCAGATGGAAAATTATCGCAAACAGTGGGGTATCCAGCCCGCTAAAAATTAATCATTCGCTCAAACTAGCCCCCAAACGCCTGCGGATCCTAGGTGCCTTGGTCAACGAATGCTCTGCCCATCCCAAAGCAACTCAACAGACCTCCGCATGTTATAAACCGAACTAAACGTTTGCAACCAAGTCATGACGGTCTGCAAAGCACAGATTTTTGAAGTCCCTGTATCCATTTCGGTAGCAATTCAGACTTTAGAGGCACCTAAATAGACAAAAGCATAAATACCTTTTTCAAAAAAAAACAGGCCAAGCAATTTAAGGAGGCATGGAAATGTACATAGATAGACATCTTGCATGACTTTCTGAAAGACAACTGATCCGACATGTAACTGAAAAGAATCTCTCCCTTACTGAAGTTATGCAGATTAATTCTGGAGATCTTTAGGATCATCTGGTTATAATTTGAATGAGTTTGATGTGACAATGGCTAAGCCTATAGTATGATCAGATGAGATTCCTGAACACTTATGTGCTACACTTAAAACCATCTTTGTTCGTATGAAGTATTGTTATTTTATTTTGCAATACACAACCATGACATCCTGTTATTTATGAGTTCTTGTACATCCCTCCGAATACAGAGGGACTTCATCAAGTTAGGAAACAGATTGGGTTCCCAGGAGCTCGCGACCGCAAGCTTTGGGAACTGCTGTATATAGAGAATGCAAACAGACACATCTACACATCCCTTCTAGCTGCCACATCCCCAAATCACCCAATTTATGTTGTACTTCCATGGCTTTTTGTTGTTTACCAGTACACACTACATATGCAGACAATGGATGAATAACTCAAGATGGAGAGACTTACCTAAAGTACATAAATGATTAGAATTGAGTGCATGATCTATGGCAAAAAGATCAAAAGAAAGGTCTTGATTACAAAGGAGGAACTACTTATGAATGCTGAAGAAGAAACACAAGGAGAGGGTAGTGATAGAAGCAATCAAAGAAGAGCCAATTAAAGAGACAGTGTGGAAAAGACACTAGAAAACAAAAAAAAATTAAAGCAAAAAAGCGAGAAGAGGCTAACAAAGATGAAGGAGTATGAAATATTTGGAAGGGGAGTTTTTCAGATTATGAACCATTTAGAAGCCAGGTCAGAATATCCCAGTCCAATTAATTGACAATCCATCTGATTCTTCGGATGCTCGTCCAGTTGAATTCGACCCCTTTGGTGTCCATTATCATTATCATTAGAATTCGAACTAGAAGAAGAGATCTTGAGGGTTTTCAAGGACAATGGTTCATCATTTCCTGGGTCCATTTCTGCCGGTCTTGATGAGGAGTAGGTCTGGTTGATTTGGATCATGTTCTTGGTAGATTTGATTAAACAGTTGAGGTACTAAGTCGAGATCGATTCAAAAAACCAAACCAAAGAGATGGGTTTTTTTAACTTGATTAGTCAAACTAAACAGGAGGAAAAAAAAAACCAGTTGAGGGATGTATCAAGATGAAGAAGACCCACACATTGGAGTTGCAGTATACTGATCGTATTATGACGACGATTAAGGAAGAGAATCTCGAGCAACTGATCTTTAATGTCTTGAAGGGTTGCATCCAAGTCAGTGGGAGTTAGCACGACGAGTTCAGAGGAAACAAAGGCCTGATAATCCAAGAGAGGGGCAGGTAAGTCGAGCTCGGAGACGAGGGTGGAGTCGTCGAAGCTGGCCTGACGGGCTTTGAGGAGCTTGATCCGTCTCTCGAAGACGGCCTCTCTGAGTCTAAACTCAGATGGGGGCGTACCAGCGTGCTTGTTTTTCCGACGGGTAAGCTAAAAATCACACATGATTAACACGGCCGTCTGTTGCGAGGAGGCACGGTTAGATATGAACTTGACTCACTTGGCCCGCTACTCCCGCAAGTTTCCCAAGAATCCGGATCAGCTTTGCATCCAGAGACTCAGCCCCATCTGATAAGATTTTTAATAGAAGCCAAGCTCGTTCGCTGAGCCGCTCAACCACCCACCACATGGCACGCCGATCATCATCCAGCTCATACAACTCCAAGTCGAATCCCATCAGGGTCATTTGTAGACCACTCTCGATTGAGAAATAGTATATCAGTGCCTGCAAGCGTTGTAGTGTTGAGGGGGCGAGGTCGAGTTGATTGACCCAGGTCTGACGGGAGAAAATATGTATTTCAGCACTCGCAAATTGCCCCGATCTTTCATGGATGACGTATCTTGACTCACCGTGTTGTACAATGACTTCCATTCGGATAAAGAGTTTGATAATATTCGTCTACCTCGAGCCCGATTAGCGGCAAAAGCCGAAAGATAATTAACAAGAAACTATTTTTTTGTTACAAACATCAGTACAAAATTTCTTTCCACAAGGCAACAAAAAGCATTGTGATATTTTCAGAGGATAATAAGGGTAAATGACGAACACCAGCAAGTCGGTTCAACATGTACGTATTAGTATCTGATCCATTAGATGGAAAACAAAGCCGACCAGCTGACAAATTGGTCATACAATCTTTGGCTAGCCAGTTCAAGGACCGATCAGGATCCAATCCGATCACGTTTCCACTCTGGAATAAAGACTTGATACCAGTCCAAGAAGAAGATAAAATAATAGGTGGGGTGGGGGTCAATACAAGGTAATCAAGTTAAGCAAGAAAAAAAAGGTAGTAACATGGGATTTAAAAATATGCTTACCATTAAATATGATCGAACAAATGGAAATGCCATCGGCTCGCGTCTCGAGAATGCATGAAAGAAGGACTAAGGGAAATAGTGGGATTGAAATTCAGGATGGATGGGGCAGATATGGGAGGCGGGAGAAGGATATGAAAGGAACTGACCATCCAGTCGGAGAAAGAGTTTGCGAGAGCGACCTGCGAGACCAAAGAGAGCTCTTCCAAGATCCGTCGAGTCATGTCGACGAGGAAAGCGAAAGAGTGTGGGAAATAGACTGGACGGGGCGGAGAATTAGAAGAGACGGTTTGGTAGAAGTTGAGGTTGAAAGCCGCTCTGACGGGATCGTTTTGAGCAGAGAAGGAGAGCGTGGAGTGGGCCGGATAGGTGGGGTCGCGTTGGGTACACCCTAGCGCTTCTAGCGCCGAATCTAGATGAGCTTCTACTTGCGAAACTGTCTCGACTGTGGGCGAGGAACTCGGAAGCGCAAGACTGTATAGAAACTCCTACAAATTTACATGTGGAGAACCAAGTTGGAGATCAGCCGTCGTCTTGGAAATCAACCCCAATTCCTCACCAGGGCTTGAGGAGACAAAAAATATTAAGCTACGACCAAATAAACTTACGATTCGAAATCTGACTCTCTCCATCAACGGGATCCGATAACCATCTAATTCTGGAGCGGATCAACACGGTTAGCAGAGCTGGACACGATGAGAATGGATAAATGACTTTTTTTTGAGAGAAAAAAAATGCTTGTTCATTTACCGTTTGGCCAAGATTTCAGAATTGAGTATGCTTCGTCGAGCGCTTCTAAGGTCTGGGTGACATCGATATCTTCGTATATGTCGATCGTTTGTTGCTCGCTATTCACATCTTCGTTCTGATTGAAATGAAGAAGTTGAGCAAGATTGGACAATTTAACTGACAATTGGGAAAAAAAGTGATCCAAGCTGACCTCCCTCAGATTATCTTTTGAGATCTCGTCCGAGACGATCGCGCAGGATTTGACGAGACCCAATAGGGAAGCTCTGAGGACATGTTTGACGACTTGATCGGGATGAGATTTGAGTGAGTCCAAGTGACGAAGATAGGAGGAGGTCAAGACGGTCTGAGAGAGGAGACGGCCGGTGTACCAAGTGACCTGTCAGAAGATTGAAAACCAGGATCAGGACCAAGGCTTTGTGTGGGCTGGGCGATGGCTCCAAAGAAGTGCAGAACAGACCTCGCAGGCCAGAGACAAGTCGATTATCGTGGCCACTTCTGAGGCCGTCAAGGGTTGGAGAGGGTCGAATTGGGGATCCGGCTGTGTACTTCTCCCGACTCCCGAATCCATCCTAGGGTCCATGATCTGTAATCAAAAAGAGAAAAGCAGTTGGTCACAACGACTAGGATGATGATGAAACTGTCAAGATGAGGGAGAT